AGAGCTGGAAGGAGCGAGTAGAGGGTCTTTGTGGAGAGAAAGGACAAGTACTAGTCAGTTCTTTAAAAAAAAAAGATATGAAAAATAGGAGCATTGCGCGAATAATTGACGGGGAGTGGACGGATCATGTTGGATGGATTAAGATGAAGAGGATAGAGCACATGATGGAGAGTTGTGAGAGATGTTTCAACGAATACCATATAGGTTCTAATAAAGTTTTAAATGTAGTCTGTAGTCATTAGCCCCAGAAGATGGATCCTCCTCACTTATATTACCTTATATTAAGTCAGTAACTGCACAATGAGATTAACATTTGTGGTTAAGACTGATATATCTAAACAGCTTTTGGATGGACTTCCATGCTGTTTGGTAAACATTAAAGTCCATCTAAGGATACATTCTAATAAAGTTTCTCAGATTTTTTGCCCTAGAACTAGTATGAAATACCCTGAATGACCACAATACTCATGACTTCCTATTAATTTCAGCCGGTCTTGTTGTTTAATGCCAACATTAGGATATGGATTATACCTGCTGGGCATGTTTTTAAGGTTGTTTTTATTTACAGAAAAGGGAAAAAAGATTAGTGTGGTATTAGACTGCTTATTGAAGACAGTCAGTTTTTAAATGTGCTGTTGATTCACACTTGTCTCCAAGGATGCAAAGCTCAAAGGAAATTCAGGAGCTGCACACAGCTGGAAAAAATTAAAATAAATAGTTGGTGGTTGTGAGAAAGCTTCAGAAACATCTCGGAAAACAGCAAACAATGTAATGAGCCCTAAAAAGAAGACATTTTAATTTCTCTTTAAGAAGTTTAATTTGTGGTGGTTTTCGACATTTGCATTTTGACTGAAATCTGGCGCCACTTATATAAAATAGTAAAGTTTGTATTTTTTTACGTATGCTAACTTGTAGACTGTGACTGTAAGTAGGTACCGTTGTGTATATTGTATGTCGTGTGTGTGGCACAGTGTTTTCTTGTTTTTTTGTCCTTTACCTTGGTGAGGTGATATACACACTGTTGGAAGGTGTGCATAATGACATCATCCAGCTGTGCTAGAGCTTCTGAGCAGGTGTCCATGTCAGCTGTTAAAAGTGGGTCTCCTGGGGCTTCAGAGAAACAGTTAGTAAGATGAATTAAAAATTGTATCCACGTTAAATTCTATGAACTACAAAAGTTCTGTGGTACCTCATTGAACACTCATATCATCAAAAGGAAACATTTTACCCGAATTAAGATAGATAGATTTACTTTATAGATCAAATAATTTTTTCCTCTAGAAATCACTCTCACCTTCAAACTCCCACTCTTTTTCCATAGCCTCAACTTTGACCTGGAAGAAGTTTAGGAGTTCTGTGGCATTTGACATCCAGAACATCAGCGGTCGAAGGTCAGATGATAGTTTCTGGACATTTGGTGTGCTGATCTCACCTTCCTGCTCTGTGGAGCTGCAGACATTCATGTAATGACAAAGTTATTTGAGCTGTAAAAGTTTGTGAACATTCTCCTGTCAGTGTTTTGTTTATGCTTAACAGGGGAAATACACCATGCTGTGAGTAAAAATAGACTCACAGTATGGTGTATTTAAAGTGTAAAAATAGTTTTTGTTACACAACTATATTTGATCCTCTTTTTCACATCAGTGCTTCCATCATACAACAAAAATGTACCAAAGACATAACAGCACAGGCACAAATGTATCATGAATCACTTAGCAGGCGATCTCTAAACAGAGGAAACATGACGTCGAACAAAAATGTTCTTACTTTTGCGTGGGATGCTTATCCCCAAATTCCTTAATGTTATCCTGTAAAGAGAGTTGGAGACAGAGGAGAAGAGAGACATCTCAGCTTAGTGTGGGGGTGGACAAGGGGGAGCAGAGTCTCACCCTGCAGCCAGGACAATTACAGCACATTTTCCAGCAGGAGGGCAGTGACATCAACTCATCCTCGCTCCTGTCCACAACCTAGCAGGCCACAATGAATGGCATATGTCTGTCTAGTTGTCTGGTTTTTCTGTGCGACTGAAGTTGCCATCAAAATCTGCTTATTTGATGTTTTACTGCCAAACTTATTTAATTGTGGTCATGGCCCTATTTTAATGGAAAGGTTCATGGTCCAAATGTTTCCTCGCTCCACAGATTGACCTTAATGCTCAACCCGGTGAACTTTATTATAGTACATGACATGCCAAAGCCTGTATTACATTCTATATTTAGTGTAGTTGTTTCTCAGCTAAGCTGGTGGGAGGGCTCTCGAGGGCGCCATGTCAGTAGGTCCTCTTAGTTGCTTCAGGCTGAAATACCTCAAATATATCGAATTTCTAGATGGATTCGTTTGAATAGTTCACAGAGGATGAACATGGATGACTTTGGTTATCCCCTGGACTGTCTGCTAGCCCAACTTAGAAGTGAAATGTTTGTTGTTTTGAGGTAAATATTGTGATGGTGTACCAGATTTTCCAGTCATTTATGTTCCCTATAGCTCGCATTGTATCAACTTCTTTTCTTTAATTCTGAACCATCATCTCTATAACAATGTCCAAAACTTTGGTTTTATGAACAAGTACCTACAACGCTTAGGCATTTCTTTTAGCCTCCATTATCACATTTCTTTAATTATCAACTATTAGTGTGCTAGAACTAGGTTGGTGAAACATTGTGAACATTAGAGGGGCTTAACATCAACAAGTTAGCATGTTACTGTTAGCATTTAGTTCAAAGCAGCGCTTAGCCTCAGTAAAGGGTTTTCTTACTATTTATTGGAACTTTTTATGAGTTATTACATATCTAACTGTAGAAAAATGACAGTGAGAGAGACTTGAGTGGAAATTGGACGCAGCCAGCAATAGTCCTGGTATTTGTGATGATTCATTGTTTTCCAGCACAAGTATTATAGTATTCTTTATTTTATATTTTATATTTACTCACCCAGACAATTTCTTTAATGAGATTTGCTGACTTTAGTAATATTTGGGGTGTAAGAGCGGGGTCCAGGTGCTTGGAGGCATGATCAATCATGATTGACAGCAGATACGCAGGAGCTAAAGGTCCGCCACAAGAGTCTGGAGAGGAATTTTTGGAGATTATCTCCTAAGAGAAAATGAAGGTAGAAACACGATGTAAGGAAATGCTTCTATGACACCAGATAAATAAATAGTTTGTCAGAGCTTGAAGCTTCTTTGACTCCCTGTCTCACCTGTAACAGGGAATCTGTATGACGGGGATGGAACTTCAGGACTGCCTCTGTAGATCCTAGGTACGTCCTCAGTGTCTCCTGTCTGTCTACCATCCCTGAAGGGCAGCAGGTAGTGGAGACATCAGCCTGCCATGGCAGAGTCAATGCCAGAGGCGGAGCTGGAGTCACACGGGGGTCGCGGTACAGAAAAAGGAAGTGGTTCCCCATACCAATCACATCCCCTGGCTTCAGGACAGTTTCCCTGTAAAGGGCCACGCCGTTGTGTGTGACTGCGCCTCCTCTGAAGGGCCGCATCAAAGCTACAAGAAATTTGAAATGACAATAAGGTAGACTTTAACAGCAGGTGCACCATGGATTTGGTATGATATGATTTAGGGACTGCTTTTGTACCTTGTCCAGTGGGCGTTTCAGGAACAGCTGAGTTTCTCCTGACCAGTAAGTGTCTGGCCAAGAGGTCAGGAGCAGAGAGAAATGTGTCCACCTTCAGAGGCCTCTTTCCCTTCCTTTCTCTCTCTCGATCCTTCTCCTTCTCTCTCATTGTGGGCTTTCTTCCAAACACATGCGTATGTCCCGCCATGATGTACAAAACAAAATCCTGGGAAGAACACACAGTGGAGGGCAGAGCAAAGTCAGGGAGGTCTGTTATCTTGTAAGTATCACCGTTTACATCAATCTTCCATCTTACAGATGTTAAGTTGAACAGAGGGCGGCTGATAAGGAATGAAGTGTGTCACAGTTTGTGACAATGGAGACCTGTGTGAGGTCATTGTGTGAGATGAAGTGATGTACACAGAGGGGTTTGTTGCTATCGTTGGGTTAATTGTGATGCTCTGGGGCTGTTTTGTGCAGGAGGCTGAATGGGAGAGGCTTGTGGAGGGATGGAAACCCTGATGGTATGTGACGATTGCAAACATGCAGGTATGATGTCATGTGCAGGGTGTGTGCACATATGGACATCCGCGCAATCCTCCACAACATGCCTGTTAGTTCACATATAGTATGTGCACATCAGAGTGTATGATGTTCACAATGTTTGTGTGTGTGTGTGTGTGTGTGTGTGTTTCTCTTTTTATTTGTTTAAAATAGTATACATAGTCATATGGGTGATGTTTATGACTATTTGTGTTGCGATATCGTCTGCCAGCATGTCTTGCCTTGCTCTGGTCGTAGCCCTGCAGCAATAGAAAATAGGGTCGATCTGTGGGTGGAAGGATTAAACTTTGTGACATCACTTCCAGGTCACAGCTGGAGTAATCCCTCTCGTCCTCGACTGGCTGGTTTGTCCATCCAACCTTTGCTTCAGCTTTTGAAGCTCTAATCTGAAAAAGTTGTTCAACAAATGACAGTTAGAAAACAAAATGTACAATAGGGTCCATTTTTTTCTCGCCCTATGATTGTCTGTACCTCTCCTGGCTGTGGGTTGATCATGCTGACGATATTCTTCCTGTCCTGCACCGCTGCATTGTTGTTCGGCCGGTTGCCTGGACCACGTTGGTCTTTACTGACGTGGTTGCCTTGGCGACGCCGCAGACTCAGGTTCATGTCACTGATGCTCCTCCTGAGCTCTGTGTTTCTTCCTCGATGACCTCGCTCACTCTCCTCTGGTCCACCCCCTGATGACATCCTGCTCCGCCGCCAGCGCACACCTGTTGCCCAGACGATCAACAGTCTGTGTTAACCAAAGACATATAATAAACATATAAAATGCTGACATACCTACCTTTTGAACCTTAAATGTACCTTGATAGTTCTCTCCCTCCCTCTCACGCTCCTTCTCCCTCTCCATCTCTTCTCTTTCATAGTCCTCCTTTCTTTGGATTTCAAAGCGCCGTTCAAATCCTTCCTTAGGTCGCCACATGTCCACTAACAACAGGGGACATTCCCATGGGGCAACACTTCTCCGGCACTCTGTCTCCCATTTGATAGCTCCATCTGGCTGCGGGATGGGCTTTCCAATGACATCACACAACAGGAAGTCCTCGGGGCTGTGTTTCTGGAGAACTAGAAGGTAATGGAAGAAAGGGGGATGGGGTGGGGGATAATTATTTTTCCATAAAACTGCAGTTTATTTTATTTCATATTTTTATATTAGGTCATTCCCAATTTGGTTAACAAAATGTAAGCAAATGATCCCTGTAATATGTCACAGCAGAGGTTAAGTAAGAGAGAATCTCATACCTGCGTCATCTGTCTCTTCCCTCTCCCTCTCAGTGTACCGAGTGATGACCTGGGCGATGAGCTGCCTTGCTGTAGAGTGGATGTTAGCCAGCAGGGAGCGGTAGTTGGCCCCGCTTGAGAGGGCATCCCCGTAGATCTTGATCAGGCCGGGGGCAGAGGAAGAGGCAGGAGGGAGGTAATGATGGGAGGATGAAGCAGCTGAATGAGCCCAAACCTCTCTCTCCCTTTCCCCCACCGCCCGGTCCCGGTCGCTGTTGGAGCGCCCTCGCAGGAAGAGATGGGAAAGGCGCTTTGTGCGGGACTGGGGCCCAGCAGGCCGTGGCCTGAGGAAGGCCGGGGAAGGGGATGGGGATGGGGCAGGGGAAGCCAGCGAGGGGGTGGAGGTAGAAAGGGAAGAGGAAGGAGCAGAGGGGGCCTCGTGGAGAGAGGCTGCGTCAGAGCTGGTGGTTGACCTGGGAACAACAGAGGAGGAAAAGACAGATGGAGGAGAGAGGAAGGAGAAAGGAAGGGACCAGTCAGCTGTGAATTATGACTGACAAAACACATACAAACAACAAGGACTAAAATAAAACAAGGAAAGGATACAGGGTTGAAAGGATACTAATGACAGTGGAAGGAAGATAAGATGCAATCAGTACATAAACTGTTTTTTAAACAATTAGTCTTATCAATCACTAAATTCTGCCCTAAACTGGCATGCAAGCTGCGTAAATTGAGGACATATACAGATGACATAGAATCAAAACACAGGTTTTAGAGATCTTCAGACTGACTTGACAGAGATAGCGCTCGGCCAGCGACCCCCTAGCTTGGCAAAGTGTTTCCTCGGCGAGTTGATCCAAAGACCCACAGGGAAATGGAGCTTTCTGAAGCGAGGACTGCCAGACCCCTCCATCTTACAGAGGGAAAGGAGGAAAAGATGCAGAGATTAGGAACAAATGTGTCTTCCCCATTCAAAATCTGAAAAATGTGTAAATTTGACAGTAAACTATAATTGTCGCTTTTCCTCTTATCTGCTTGATCTACCTCCACACTGTAGCAAGGATTGTGTCAACAATGTCAGGATTGAAACAATATAACAATAGCATGATGTCACCATCAAAAAATATCAACAGGATGCTTACAGCAGGTTGTCAACATGATGAAAACAAGAAATTATGTAGTGAAAAAAACATGGGCCCCTGGAAATTGAGGCATGAATTTCCCATCTTTAAACAGGAAGCGTCTTTTGGAGGACTCAGATCCAGCTGTCGCACTGACAGGGAAATACCCTCTCCAGTGGTCAATGAATGTCCATTTACAGTGTTCATTTTACATGAATTACCATCAAAAGTTAGAACATAATGCTTGCAAATGTCATGCTTGTCAAATCAAATACAAAATTGTATTTCTCTGGAAAGTCTCATACTTTGAAGTATAATCCTGACAAGACTTAATATCTTTGTGTTTTTCTGCTCCTTAATAATGCTGTCATGAAATGACAACTAAGGCAGCGTTTTAAGTGTGCGTCTTGTTCTTTATGTTGAGGATGAAATATGCTGATACCATGAAGTCTGCTTTTAAGAATCCGATTTAAAACACTTACCCACAGTTGATTCTGATCCTTCTATTGTAAGCTGATATGATTCTTCCGAAGCTAAATGTAAATATGCAGCTCAAAGCAGCCTCATAGCTTTGCGTATTTCCTTTTTCCTGCGATAAAATTCCATCTTCTTAATCCAAGGCCTGTCACAAATATACTCTAAAGTCTTTATTTCTTAACATCCATTAGGTCAGTCTTTTGTCAACTAAAATATCCTTGTCTCACTTAACCTACAAGTTACGCTCCCTCTCTCTCGCTCTACTTCCCTGCCTCTCTGGGTCTATAGATAGAGAAACAGGCCCATTGTTCTAAGTGACAGAATTTCCTTCCTTTGCAGTGGACAACACCTATATCCTGACCGAGTGAGAGAGACAGCGAGAGATTGGTGGAAAGCAGAGAAGAGTGAATTTACACACACACATGACTTTTTTTTTAGACCTTATTAGGAATATTACATTTGTAAACAGAAAGAAACATTTATACGGTGCTCTGTCTGGATTCAACAGAAACTTGGTGTCACTGTTTAGATTAAGATTAAGATTTGCTTTTATTGGTCCCCGCAAGGGGAAATTCTGTTTTTACACTCTGTTTATCATGCAACACACAAATAGACTAAAATACACACATACACAAACAGGATCCTATGAACATGCACTAATGGAGAGATGTCAGCGTGACGGAGCTGCCCACAGCGGGCGCTCCTGAGCTGATGGTGGGGAGGGGGTTTGGTGCCTTGCTCAAGAGCACCTAGAGTTTAAAGATATCATAGAGGTCTCATAACTGTGAGAGATTAACAAGAATTTGGCCATATAGATATGAAACTACATTGTGATTTCATTGCGATGCTTTCCAAAGCACACATAGAGAGACCAGTTTGAAGTTTTGCTGAAAAGAGAATGAAGGAAACACATGCAGAGAGACAGGAAGCTAGAGGGAGCAACAGTGACACCTGTGATCTTTGACCTTGTCTTCAGCAGGAAAATGGTTGATGGACAGAGAAAGATGACTGTCACTTGGTCCCAGTCGGGGGGGGGGGGGGGTGTATGTCCTAAATCTGAATTTCAAGACCAATCAATACATCAAGAAAGGCCAGTAACCCTTGACCCATTTAATACAAAAAACACTGACTTACACTAAACAGAAGCCTCAGTTGCATGTGGAAAAGGCAAAAACACAATACAGGGCAACTGAGTGATGTAGTCACATATAAGAAATAAATGTTTGATTGCTTTAGTTTTAAAAAAAAGAATAATAAAACTTTTAACACTTTGTTCATCGAAATAAGATACATTTTTGTTTTTATTTTATATATTTGTTATTTGTTTTTTTTTATTTTATATATATATATATATTGTCTGGAAATAGCCATTTTCATTATTGATCATGTTTGTGTTTTGTGTTTTATTCTATTCCGTTAAAACGACGATTATCTTCTTACACAATAAGAGTAGAAGACAGGCTCCAGGCCGTTCAGTTGTTTGTTTTTTTCTTAGTTTTAGAACAATTAACCGGATTTTAGAGGCTCGTGAACTCAGGTTAGGGTGAGGGTGAGACACAGGAAGAATACGCGACAACAGGCATCCCAGAATCCTTTGCGGCTCGACGGGGACGGACATCTTTCTGTGGTGAACCGAGGACACATCACGAAGCACCTCAAGGTTAGCTTTGCGTCTCTACTTTTTTACGAAATTCACGTTATATTTGTTGTGTTTTCTCGGTCTGAATTATCCCGTTGTCTTTAAAAAAGGCTGTTTTCGTTTTCAAATGTGTCGAGTATTCTGGGATATTCATGTGATATCAAATCAGCGGCGAGCTAGCGGCTAGCATTAGCAACTCCACTGGAGACTTCGCTAACTTGTGTAGTGAATATATTCATGTAACAGTACTTATATTTGTTTTTTATTAAGAGACCAGTCCGAGTTAAATAGCCACCTTCTTGGATTTGTCCAAAGGGTTTCTAACTAATCAATACAGTACCTTGAAAAGCGTAAACAAAGCTTAAAGTAACTCTAATCACAATCCTATTTTTATCTTAGCCAGTAAAGGTGACTCCAGCTGACAAAGTGTTTTATGATCATGTTTCTGCTGTGCATTAATATATTCCCTGCTTTGTTTCAGTCTCGTTGAGTTGAATTGAAGGTCGTAGAGATGGCTGAAAACATTGAGGAGAAGATTAAGTCATACAGGACTGCTCCCTTTGACGCCCGATTCCCCAACACCAACCAGACCCGCAACTGTTACCAGAACTACCTGGGTGAGGAGACCCGGACCTGGACCCGGACCTGCATGTCATTACTCACTTTTAAGACTGTTTAGAAACTGTCAAGATAAGAGACTGAGCTGCCTGACCTTTTTATTGTGTGTTGTGTACAATGTTAACTCACTTTATGTAACATTCACAATGTTTTTCCACTCACTGCAGAACTTGTGTTTGTCATTTAGCGAAACCCTTTTTTTCATTTTTAAAAGCAGCAGCGATTACATTAATATTTAACGGGCATGTTTCTTGTTGTTTAATTAAGAAACATCATTTTTAACCTTTTCTATAAGCTCATATTTCATGGTGCAAATTCATGTTAAGATTGCCAACAGAAGAGAACCTTTAAAAACTGGTCATCGTGTTGTTATCGTGGGCAGTGTCACATTAAGACATGTTGAATATGACCTTCACATGACATTGGCTGTATCAATATAATGTTGTGCATGTTATTCCCCATGTACACCAGTGCACTCAGTATTTGGCGGATCCATCCATCATGATAGCTAATGAGAAGTGGTTGTTACTTTCTGCCTCATCTCGCTGATAAAACAAACTGCAGATCTTAGATAAGGACTGGTTGTACTCTTCAGTTGTCGAAACTGAACACTGTCTTCCTGGTACTGTTTTTCCTGGGATCTCTAATCACTTCTTTTTTCTTTTTTTTACCTTTGATGTTGATCTTAATTGTTTTGTGTTTGGGCTCTAGACTTCCACAGGTGTAACAAGGCCCTGTCAGCAAAAGACCAGGATGTGGCTCCCTGTGACTGGTACCAGAGGGTTTACAAGAGCCTCTGTCCCATGAGCTGGGTAAGTTTGTGTTAGGATTTGGTTCTGATTAGTTTCCTTAGTATGTTCAGGTGTCTTTTGTTTAGGACCGTGGACAATATTCATGCTAAAACCTTGTTTAAGGTGCTATATAGCAAAGGCTGACTGTTGGAGCACTTACAGGGTCCTTGTTTGGCTGTTTTGTGTTTTTTTTTCTTTTTTTTTTCTTGACGCCTCATTTAGTTCTGTGCTTGGCTTTAGATTTTTCCTCTATGCAGTCTGATGTAGTTTGAGATTCTCTGAGACATTAATCTGAATGCATTTAAATCTCAGAGTTGGTAATCAAACCTTTCAATTGAGTTGAGATTTGTATTAGCTGTGAAACTGTTCTAACACATCGTCTCCCAGCGTCAAGAACAAAGGATACCTTAGCATGAGTATATTCAAAGATAGGGCTAATGTTTTCTCTTATCTCTAACAGGTTTCCAAATGGGACGAACAGATAGAGAACGGAAGTTTTGCGGGAAAAGTCTGAAATAGCCGTCCGGTTATAGATCAGGACAGTCCACTCTTGCACATTCTGTTACGTGCACCTATACCTCTGTTGTGTGCCGAAGGACATCTTCAAACAGCTACATCATCATCATCATCTATGTTAAAAACACGCACAACTTTTTAACCTTCATTTAAAGGTCGGAAATTTGCATCGTGTGTCAATTGTCAACATTTCTTGGTGGTAAATCAATAAATAAACGTTGGATTTCATTAAAAGGCTCTTGTTGATGATTCATTACTTTATCATATAGGATTACCTTATGAGGACTTTTTACACACTACACATGGATAACTCATTATTGTCAATCTGTAGCACACTTTTAGTTTGGCTGCTACTGTTGCTCAGGCTGTTGAGTACCGTAACTATTTTACTCTATGAAAACTATTCATATCACAATTGCAAGCAGGGCAAAGGGTCATGGCAGAAATCATACAGATGGGCAAACCTATTGTTAAAGTGGATGTAAAAAAAAATATCCTTAAACTTAATTGTCTCTTTTATTCCAAATCCTCTTTTTATTAATGAATACTACAACAATAATATTTTTTATTTAAGAATGAACCAGTCATCTCATTTGTTGCCATAAAGTTTCTCATTTGCAGATTCAGTCACTTGCTGAGACCTGCAGTAGCTCTGGATGACTGAACAAAGCCTCTGACTATCTTGGTTATTATACTGTAGTGATACACAGTAATCTGAAACATTGTAAACTAAATCTTCTCCTTTGAAAATTATATATTGTGAGAACTAAGTTTTTCCAGAGGGTGGCAGTGTTGTTAGAAAAACGAAATGCCTTTTTATATGCAATACTACAAGTTTACCAGATGGTGGCACAATATCTCCATTGACACTATCTTGTTGAGATAAAAGTCTGTTGATATTCAGTAAGTAAGCATATTGTGGACTTGCATCTGAGTTTTTGGATGTTTCAATCTTCTGAGTCAGTGCTTTGATTTAATGAGTTGCGTGGTGTTACAGTTGGTATGATGGCCAAACATTGGCACATCCATCTTCATTGCACAGTCATAACCGCTATGTGATTATTATCATGTAACCATATCCTTCTCCTCTTTCAGTCTGTCCAGACTTGCCAGAGAGGGTGTGTTCTCATTTTCTGCATTTATTTGAGGATCACATTAAATCCTCCCCAGGCTCTGGTTGTTATTTACAGTCTGTCTCAGCTGTGGCTAAATAAAAAGTTGAATAATATGGAACTTCAAGAGAGTTAAAAATTGCATTAAACAACTTTGATTAGTTTGTGACCACATGAAAATTGAGTATGCCATGTTCAGAGTTTTCTCTTTCAGGTCTAGTGTCAACATGAGTCAGTGGCAAACACTAAACACAAGATGGTACTGCTGCGCCACATTTAAAAGAATCAAACTGCTGAAAACTCAACGATGCATCGTCCCTCTCTCACAGATCTCCATCACCCATTAAATCTTTAGGAGGACTACATTACCACCATGTTGACCCTAAACCACACGAGTACCACCCAAAAAAAATGATTTTAGAGGTAGAAACGCAAACAAGAACTCATGTTAGACACGTTTGTTAAAATCTGAACGTAACAGAGATGTGTTCAAACTTAAAAAAGAAACATTTTGGATTTTTAAACATGACTTAAATGATTTTCAGAATCACAAACACTTTATTGATCCCAGATGGAAATTCGGATCTAGTACAAGCCAGACCTATCGGTAATTAAATAGATTTAGTGAAGAGTGGAAACAGAATTGTTTTTCAAACAAATGTTTTTTAACAAGTCAGGTATATATATATATATATATATATATATATATATATATATAAAAAACATTGTTTGTGTACCACTATGGTCAAAATAAACAAGAGGAAGACGCTCCTTGTTGACTAAATCCTATAGGAAGCTACCAGCCTGCAGTAAGAGACAGCTAAATTAACATATATATTGAGTGACTGAAATTTTTTGATTTAAGCATGTGTATTTTCTTCTTGGCAACAGTTCACTACATACACACACGCCACGTATTCTGCACCACAACAGGAAGTGGTTTGTTGTGCGTAACCAAGTGAAGGAGATGGAGAAAGAGTGAGTGCATACCTTTCTTTACACCCCCCCCCCCCCCCCTTTCTGTCTGTGTATCTTTCTTTGTGTATCTATGTTTGCAGATGTCTAATCATTTGAGATGCTCAAGCAGTCCAGGTCACCAGAGGGGATCCTTGGAGACAGCTCGAAAGATCCAGATTGGATGACGGGACAGAGATGTAGAAAGTTGCTTGTGACGACTGAAGAGTGTCGTAAGCACTGAACCTGAATCCCATCTCTCAGTTAGTTCCTCTTTTTTTAGATTTACGTAAGTGCACGTCTCTCATGTCATGTTTCAATGAATTATCTGATTACCAAATGAGCATGGCAGTTCTAGGGAGAGGCCAACAGGGGCCAGTGCCCCTGTAACACTGAGCTTAGTGCCCCCTGTGGCCACCCCTCCAAAAGGAAAAGCCCCCCTCATAACACATACACAGTATTTGACTCACAATCTAGTATTAAATACTGTTACTGAAACAAATATAAATCATGGTATTTTATGTTGTGGTATTTAATGACGTGCGCTTTTATTTGTCATAATGTTTTTGTTTTTTTAAAGCGATAATCTTTATCTATTTTTCACCTGGGTTTAATGTACCCCTCTGACAAAACAACTGGCCCCAGTTTGGCCCCCTCAGTGAAGGTAGTCTAGAACTGCCACTGCAAATGAGACTCTTACGCACAGAAAGGGAAGGAGCTGGACACCTCTAACAGAACTTTTTAATGCAGTGACTAAACATTGTTGTATCAGGGTGACTCTTTTCCTGTCATGACCACGTTTCATATGAGGTCAGATACAGTTTAAAACCCACTTTATTTAGATGATCAGCAAATATGATTCTATAGTTAAAGTAGTAAATTAACAATTGTTCACTTAGTTTTGTCAAAATGTTTATGCTCAGATCTTAACCAGATGTATTTATGTTCTTATTCACTGTGACTTCAGGATTACAGTTTAACTGTTTGATTTAACTAGAAAACAACCTAAAAGTGTTGGCCCCAAGCATCAGGTACAACTGAGTCAAAAATCCCAGTTTTTAGTCATTGATTCAGATGAGTAAATATCAACGTCCATAATAAGGTTGAATAGGTAGATATACAAAAAAAGGAACATATAATCTATACATATAATCTATATGGTACGAACAGGCTTTCCAATTTGAAAATATTTTTTCTTAACAGAGATAATTTTTTCAAGAAAAAGAAAATGAGAAAATGACTAAAGCAGAGAAAAATATTCTATTCAACTTTAAATGCTAACTTGTCCAAGCTTAAACTCGAGTACCTGGCTTCCTGACACCTGTCAATCAAAAACATTCAAAATGTAAAAAGCTGCTGGAAGAATCAAAACAAAGCAGCATCTCAAGTTGCTCTGTAGGGGATTTAAAAATGAGCCTGCAGGGCCTCTCGTATTTCTGGAAAACCTGTCAAATTCCTGACCTGGATTTATGTGGGCTGTGAAGATTAGACATAGTTGATGAAGAATTAGGAGGGCTCTCCATTTGTTTGCCACCCACTGAGCCGGTCTCATGATTTCTGCATGACCAGGCTTTGTATCTGAGCTACGTGCACATTGCCTTTTGTTCTCGCGCCCCCGGCGGCCGGCCGACGGGCCAGCAGCAGCACAGAGACTCCTTTCACCCGAACCGTTTGTTCTTCATCTCTGGTCCGTACTGTACGCCCGCCCGGGCACGTCCCCCCGCTTCAGCTGAGCGGAAATACGCATGCGTCGCTGCCACACACATTACGACACCAGACGAGAGAACCCGAAGTGACTCGGCCGGATGGGAGGTTTGGCGTGCGTCTTTTTACGCACAGGGGAGCTTCCAAACATGAGTAATAGAGAAGTAGAGGCTCTGAGACGTGCCGGTGAAGTTGTATCAGTTATTATAAAAATAGGAATAGGAATGGGGACTTAATAGGCTTTGTATGTCACCAACAAGGGAGGATTAGACTGGTTTACTGGGTACACATAGACTGGCACACTTCGCACATAACGGTAAACAAACATTTATTTGTATTCAATGTATTCAGTTAATGATGAATACTATGCACCATTAACTTCTGTTGTTTGTTTCCTTTAAACAATTTTCCCCAAATGTTAACTCGATGTGTCTAATTCAATTTCAAACTTTTATTGTCATATCATTGAAATAAAAGGTGACTATTACGCGTACTTTAGCATGTTAAAAGTCCAGTTTGTCAACAGCATCACCTGTACGTCGCACATTGTGGGTTATAAAGATAAAGATAAAGATAAACTTTATTGATCCCCCATGGGGGAAATTTTTGCTTTATTTAAGTCTCTTTAGCCAATTCAGAGGCTTTGTTTTGAAGAACAAACAAAAATGAGTAAAGCGACAGTAATTTGGTGAAAAAAGGGAGTTGTATCACTATTTTCTTTAAAATGTATAATTGGAGAGAGCAGAAGAGGAGGGTGAATACGGAAGCAGAGGGAGGGGTTTGCTGTCATTTTGGGCACCGAGTCCTGTTGAACGTAGTGAGTTCAGGAAAGTGCTTCAGCTGTTACAGTGTTCTACAACATCGGAGTTCAGGTCTGTAGGATTTTTAGTCTTTCTCAGTATGACTTGTAGAGTCAGGGTATTATTACAATCTACAGGATCCTGTTCTGATGCTGAAGATGCATCAACTTTTATACTTCAAAAAATAAAACACTTATTGTTCATGTGTTTACTGTTATTTCAGGTTGTCCTGCTGCCTTTCCCCCACAGAGGTGTGTCTCATTAAGGTCTAACAGACCGCTCAGTCTGAGAGGCTTCAGATCTGAAGTTCCCTTCAAGTTTCTTCTGAATATTTGCTAAATCTTCTTTCGAGCAGCTAGGATGGAGCGAATGGAGGATGAGAAGGTAAATATAAATATTACTTACTTCTCTCACTGCTGTTTTAGAAGTGTACTTTTTGAAACTAATTTCAACCCTCAAACCCTTCACATATGATCCTGCTGTGTTTCTGTCTGTCATATTTCCAACTGTTTCCTGAGGAAACAGTGTTACTCTTTTGAAAGTGCTTCTTTTATGCACAGCTTCCGTCTTGTGCTGAACACCTCCAAATAAATGAGAGCGTGTTATTTACGAGTCAGTAAGGCAATTCTGTATTTTTCCTATCTGGCAAGAATAGGAGTTGGTGC